ATATTATGTACCCAGATAAAAAACATACAATCATAATTTATTTATTTATTTATTTATTTATTCGTATCCAACAGGCCCAGAGCCCAATAACAGGATTACGTTTTTATACATTTTATTTTTATTTTCACTCCAACTTCTGAACTATCTTAAATAATATCCATATCCATGTACCATATTTTATGTTTTCATCTATATTATATAATGATAATGACCATCTAAAAACTACTGTGTTTTATACAATTATCCGAAAACCACCGCGCATAGATACAGCCATCTGGTAACTACTGCTCATGGGTGCGATAATCCAGAAACTACTGCGCATTAATACAATCATCATGGATATATCATCTAGAGACTACTGTGCATGGATACAACCATTTAAAAACCCCTGCACATGGGTACGGTTATCTGGTACCTACTGCGCAGTTAGGTCCGATTTTTAGGAAACTGCAATAAATACAATTTTACGGAAACTTCTGCACCTATATGCATCCGAAACCTAATGCGCATGGGTAGGGTCATTTGGTATCTACTGCGCAAAATACAAACATCGAATGTATACATTATCATTGAACTGCTGCGCATAGATCCAACGAGCTTAAAACCAGTGCTTATGGGTACGGTTATCTGGGAGCTACATACTGCGTATAGAACCAACCACCTGGTACCTACCGCGCATCTATACGACAATCTGGTACCTACTGCGCATAGATACAACCATCTGGTACCTACTGCGCATAGAATCATTCGGTACCTACAGCGAAAACGATGCGCGCATGGACACATATCAATACTCTGGGTTTAGATTTTAAAAATTCGGCATTCTCTATAAATGTTTACCCCATTCACTATACATAAGCAAAATTTTATCATGATTGGTCATTACAAATTGTTATTGTAATTTACAATATCTCCCTAATGGGCTCCCAACTGGAAGCTATAAAAATTGCAATTTAATACTTGTAAGCCAAGTCCTATAATAATTAGAAACATCATCACACAGCCGCACGACCCTGCTTATCCGTGGGGATTTATGACTAAGTTGCGACGCGTGTCGATTTCATTTTTACATAAACAGCCTTATACGAAGCCGGCAGCCCTATTCTAAGCCGTATACAAAATCCTAGAAGTATTTTCAATACTAAAATATTTCAATTAATTTAATTTAACTGCATTATTTTATCTTCAATTCTTCTTTTGCCCAATATATTATTTGAAAAGTTTTTAACGGATGATTTTTAAAAACAGTGTGAAACTTCTATTATAGAGATTAGCCACTAAAAACAACCATACCGTTGAAAAACCGATTTTTTCTATCAATTTTTTCTCAAAAATGACTGAAAATCATAAATTCTCTCGCTAGCGTCATGTCACGATATAATATAAATGGTATATTCTTAGGTATAATAGGCCTGCCAAGTTTTACAAATAAAGTATATGCAATATAAAAATCTGAAAATAACCGAATTCTACTGGATTCACAAAAAAGGTGTTCATTGTGAGTTGATCCATACATTCAAGGCTCACTTTCGGCGTTATATATACAGGGTGTTTCTTTTAACTTGAGACAGCTCAATATCTCGAGAAATACGCATTTCACGGAAAAATGTCTTAAATAAAAGGTTAATGTGACTAAAGAGGGCATTATTTGGTGCTACCGCTAGCCACCCCCTACCCCTCCTTAAGGGTGAAACGGGGGGTAACTTTGAAAAGTCAAATGGAATGACCCGATTTTTTTCACAGAGTTTGGTAGTACATAAAAAAATAAATAACTTTTATTTAAAACTTTTTTCAATTTATCAACAGATGGCGCTGTAATTCAAAATTTAAGAAAAATGAGTTTCCTTGTAAAATGTATTATTTGAAACGTTTGAAAAACAAAAAACCAAAATTAACAACAATAGTCGGCTATGAAAACAATTTATAACAAATGTTCGAAATGTCGTCATTCCATTTCAACACATTTTTGAATGCGGGTAATGAATTCTGGCACACAACGCGCCAACATGTCGGGCGGTATCGCCGCACAGGCGTTCCTGATCCGCTCCACCATGTCCTCCCAAGTTGTAGGAATTGCAGCGTAAACTTTTTCTTTCAAGTAACCCCACTGGAAGAAGTCTGGTGGCGTAAGATCAGGTGATCGAGTAGGCCAAATTACTGGACCACGTCTACCGATCCACCGCGGTGCACCGGCCATTGAACTCCCGATCCAACACCTCTCGAGCAATTGTCGAATAATGTGCAGGACAACCATCTTGCTGGTACCACATGTTTTGGAGCCGTGCTAGTGGTACATCCTCCAAAAGGTCCGTCAGATCGTTTTCTAGAAAATTCCGGTACTTTTCGCCATTTAATGCACCGTCAATAAAGAAGGGTCCGATTAATCGTTCGCTTAAGGTACCGCAAACGTTTACCGACCAGGGACGCTGGTGCTCCACTTGGTGTCGAAATGGAAGGACGACGTTTCGAACATTTGTTATAAATTGTTTTCAGAGCCGACTATTGTTGATTTAATGTTAATTTTTGTTTTTCAAACGTTTCAAATAATACATTTTACAAGGAAACCCCTTTTTCTTAAATTTTGAATTACAGCGCCATCTGTTGATAAATTCAAAAAAACTTTCAAATAAAAGTTATTCATTTTTTTATGTTCTACCAAACTCTGTGAAAAAAATCGGGTCATTCCATTTGACTTTCCAAAGTTACCCCCCGTTTCACCCTTAAGGAGGGGTAGGGGGTGGCCAGCGGTAGCACCAAATAATGTCCCCTTTGGTCACATTAACCTTTTATTTAAGACATTTTTCCGTGAAATGCGTATTTCTCGAGATATTGAGCTGTCTCAAGTTAAAAGAAACACCCTGTATACAGGGTGTTTCATAATATATGCGCAGGACTTCAGGATGTGATAGCTCATCCAAAAAGATGAAAAAAGTCGCTATTAAGTTACGCTCTAAAATGCACAATTTTCGAGATACAGGGTGTTGAAATTTTAGAAAAAAATTCGTTTTTTTCGAATATCTCCGGAATCGTTTATCGTACAAAAAACAGCTTTTGTAAGCATTTTCTACTCAAAATAAGCTATGTTTTGTGCTAGAAAAAAAATTTTTCCTCATAATTGATGGAGATTTTAAAGGGGTAGCGGGTGTTTTTCTCCTTAACTTCTACGCCCCTGAAAAAAGTACGGTTTTGAGAGGCCCATTCGAACCGACAATGTTTTCTACACAAAAAAGGTACTCCTGGTCATAAGCTCTAAAGTTGACCGTTTTCGAGAAAAATCAACTTTTATGTTTAAAAACATGGTCAATTTAAAAAAAAATATATTTTTGTTTTACTAATTAAACAAAATTTATTTTAACGTTAGAACAAGTAACAAAACCAAACCATAATTGCAAAATAAAAAATGATTTAAAAGTTGTCTTTGCTTAATTCTCCAAACCGTAAAGGTAACGCATTTCGCACATTTCAGCATTTGAGTAAAAAATCATTTATTTTTTTTTTAATTTTGCAATTATCGTTTGGTTTTGTTACTTTTTCTAACGTTAAAATAAATTTTGTTTAATTAGTAATAAAATTTTTTTTTCAAAAAATTGACCATGTTTTTAAACATAAAAGTTTATTTTTCTCGAAAACGGTCAACTTTAGAGCTTATGACCAAGAGTACTTTTTTTCTGTAGAAAACATTGGCGGTTCGAATGGGCCTCTCAAAACCGTACTTTTTTCAGGGGCGTTGAAGTTGAGGAGAAAAACACCCGCTACCCCTTCAAAATCTCCACCAATTATGAGTAAAAAAAATTTTTTTCTGGCACAAAACATAGCTTATTATGAGTAGAAAATGCTTACAAAAGCTGTTTTTTGTACGATAAACGGTTCCGGAGATATTCGAAAAAAACGAATTTTTTTCTAAAATCTCAAAACCGTACTTTTTTCAGGGGCGTTGAAGTTGAGGAGAAAAACACCCGCTACCCCTTCAAAATCAAAAAAAAAAAAAATTTTTTCTGGCACAAAACATAGCTTATTATGAGTAGAAAATGCTTACAAAAGCTGTTTTTTGTACGATAAACGGTTCCAGAGATAATCTAAAAAAACGATTTTTTTTCTAAAATTTCAACACCCTGTATCTCGAAAATTGTGCATTTTAGAGGGTAAGTTAATAGCGACTTTTTTCATCTTTTTGGATGAGCTATCACATCCTGAAGTCCTGCGCATATATTATGAAACACCCTGTATATACACATATGTCCAAAAGTTTGGAATATTGCAATATTTCTTTTTTTATTGATATTTATATACATTTTTTTATATAGGTAAATACCATTTTATAACGACTCCGACCAATAATAAATAAACCTCAAAGACAGAGAAAATAGAGTAAATATTAACAACAGTTTTTTAAACTACCATAGGCGTAGATATATTATTTGTAAGTATTCCAAACTTTTGGACATGTGTGTAGTATAACATATGTTATACTATACAAATTGTTAGTATCTGACCAAAGGTGAATTTTTCGGCCAAAGGCAATGTTTGGTTATTTTAAGACCTTCGGCCAAAGTCAAAAGGGTTTGACCCTTATAAATCGAAAAATAATTGTCAGAAAAAAATATATACTTAAATTAACAACGACAGAAATTAGTTTGGATGATACTTTTCATCAAATTTGTAATTATGAGATTTATATTTTAAATATTAATTTACGCGAGGGCAATAGAAAAGTATGCAGAAAAGATTGATTTTCTTTAATCCCATCAAGCAAAAATAGTATTGGTGCCTGTTAAGTAAAAAGGCAACAATACTATTTTTATCATTTGAAGCTTTTACTGCACTTACTTTATGTAACGCACGTATTTATTACGTTTTTCAAATGGTTAATTATTTTTTGATTTAATTGATTTAATCCCTAAACTAAACTATTTAAATATTAAACAATAACATTTTTATTAGGCATTTATCCATAAATTATTTTTTTTTTCATTTTTGTTAATAAAAAAATATATACTTACATAACATTAGGTTCTACACTATCCGTTTCGTTTGCAACAAAATCGACTAGGGTCATGGACGGAAATCTAGTTGTTGTTTGAGTATCTAAATATGAACAAATTGCACCTTGCAGATTCCTAAAATAAGATAACTAAATTTATATTTTAGAAATATTATTATCTACTATTAAGATTGAAGGTATTGCTTTTATAGCTTTAATGCTAATCACTGCATAGCCTTAATGCTGCTCATAATGGGCAGTTATGTCGCACTACGTTTACAACTAAATAATTATTAATCCTCTTTCTAGATAAAGACTTAATATGTAAATTAGATTTAATTGAGGATTCCACATTTGTTGAGATTCTCAAATCTTAAGTTGAATTTGAATAATAAGAGGATAAATAAAAAAAATGTGTTTGATACAATAAATAAATATTTTTAAATAAATTATTATTCACATAATAACCTTGTATTTACATGTCTAAGGTAGCATAGGTAATTGAATTTAAAACATAAAATATCTTACCAATTGTTCATATCCAGAAAAAATGAGGCAGTAGAATGGTTAATTTTTCCACACAATAGTTTTTGTAGCTCATTTATTAATTCTTCTTTGTCAGATGTGCCCATACAACTAAATTGTTGCAACAAAGCTTGATCTATTCCCCCATTATATGGGCCATCAGACCCATTATCCGTATCCATTGTTAAATTTGACTAAAAGTATTAATTACACTTTGCAACAATTTTAGGCTTTTCATAAATTACCTGGATGCAGGTTAATAGTACTATTTTTGCAGAACAAAGATTTGAAAATTTAGCTCAAAGCTCATATGATTTTTTATCCAAGATTAAGTTTAAACTTAAATTAAAACATTTTAATGGATAATTAGGTAAACCTCATTAAAACTATAATTAAAATAATTTTTAAATGAAATATTAAAACACTTAAAGTACCACTGCATACGTTAGTTGGTTCTACTATCTACACATGTGGATTTTGGTCGGTTTGACTCATATAATCTATTACAGAAAAACTGGCAGTACCTAGTTCTTTAAACAATTTAAAGTCTATTATCAGTTAAATTTTTCTTAAAGAATACATTGAAATAAACCTGATGTATTGGCAAATATTGACAATTAAGAAACTCACACACCATAACTTTTAAAGTTGAGCTAAACTTTCAAAATCTATCGGGGGCTTTGTTCTACAAAAATAGTAGTACTATCCAGGCCACATCTACGTAATTTTTGTATTATTGCAGTGTAATTTAGGTATAGACAAATAAAGTAAATTTTATAATGGTTATAATTTTACATTTTTATGATTCAAAACACTGTGTAAAATTAGTTTTTTTGTGTTTATGCTAATATCCAATGCAAATGAATGAATTTTTTAGTATGTTTACATGAACAACTTTTTGTGTAAAGATATTTAGAAATGATCGAATTTATTTGGTCTAAATAGAATTAAAAAAGTAAAGTATAGTTACAATACAAAATACTATTTTGGAAATGTGCTGCCTAATGAGTAAACATAAAAATGTCAATATCATAACCTTTGTTTAATATATAAATAATTTCTGTCACCAATAAAATAAAAAGTCCATTAACTACTTACCAAACTTTTTATGAACAATAAAACTCACTATAATTTTTTAAAAGGATTTATATATTCATAAATGACAAACTTATTTGTTCCAAAATTATCAAAAAGATGACAACCACGAACAATTAAAATGACAGTCCCACATCCTGTAAAAAAGGTACAATTCTTTGCTTTAAATGAATAGAAAAATGTAAGCAGATTTATTAGTTTTTTTTGTATACGATAGATGGCGCTATAAACGCGAAATTCTATGTTCTGTGCGCCAAATTCGAATGTATTATTTGCGTTTTAATTATTAATAATAAATAAGTTAAAGAATTTATAAAGTTAAATAAACGCAAATAAGAATTATTCTTATCCAAATCGCAATTCGCATTTATGTTCAGCATTTGGTGTAGGTAGTGTTAAAATTACTTAACAGCTAAATAATAATCGCCAATGGCTTTTTTGATTTGCAATAATCCAACTTCTGTCAAAATTAATACATATGTATTAATTTTGACAAATGCTATTACAAAAATGATAGTATCATTTGCATTGTAGCATTATGATACAATGCAAATTGTAAAATTGACGATACTTTATTACCTACTCTTGATTGTGTCATTTTTGCAATTAAGGCAAATTCACACAAAAAAAGTTGGGAACGCATTATTAATGAGTTAAAAAGGATCGTTAATTTTTGTTCATGTGAATATTTTACTTACCTATTTTTAAAACTAATTAAGTTTAAAACAAGGGTTTGTATTTGTAGTAGGTAAGGGATGTATTTTTTTGTAATGTTTTAAATATAAATATACGCATGCTCCTTGGGCTCTATGGTGGGGAACTTCCCGCCAGTTAAAACCAATCTATTAAACGATTTGGTTCAAAATCAGTTAGTTAAAATTTGTGATCAGTGTGATATTTACATAATTGGGATGTTGTCATATGATGTAAGTAGATAGTTTAAAAATATCATTTAAAAATGTGGATACCTGTAATTAAGATATATGTAGGTATATTTAATTGTTATAAAAAATCATTTGGTCGTGACAGACAATTTTAAAAATCTAGTTAGTAAATGTCTTTTATATTCCTTTGTGTTTTGTAAAACCATTTAATTATCTTTATTGTTAGATGATTTTTTGATTTAATTTTAATTCAAAATAGGTTTATGGTCTTTTTAAACGTATTAATATAGTAAAATGAACCATCGCAATATAGTTTACCGCAATAATGCCGATCATCGTTGCATCAAAGTTGATTCAATAAATTACTGTAAAATATCTGGTGCAAAGCGGGTAGTTTCTCAAACATTTTTACAGCCGACTGGAAGTAGCACTAATAAAATTGGTAAAATATTAAGAAATGTAACTAATAGTTTGCCTGAAATTGCAATAAAACGAGAAGATGACGATAGAGCGGCTGATTCTAGGGTATGCGCTTTTTGAAAGACTATAAATAAAAAAGGTAATCAAACGCATATAGGTACTTGTTAAATTATAAATATTTCAGCTGTTGCTTGTGAATGGGTGTTGGGATACTTCTAATAAAATTCCAAATATAATAGCAGATTTGCACAACGTCTCATCAGATGAATTTCAATCAATGCAGAATATCTCTTTTAAAGAGCACGATTTTATGACGGATTCAAAGGAATTTACAAATCGAAGCCCCAGAGATTCGGATAGTGGAATTGAATCCGATTGTACGGACGGAAACTTGTCCTGGTTATTAAATTATAAAATTCACGAATTACCACCAGTTCCAGGTAGGCCACAATTATAAATCAGAATGCATTCATATTAGTCCAGGAAACAAAGGTTGTAGAAGGAAAACTCGTTGGTAGTCGGGTTTTATTTTTTTTATGTAGAGTCAGGGGTGCTTATAATGAATCAAGAATATTCCCCAAAAATTTCTTTCCGCGTCCCCTAATTTCATCCCCCGGAAGGGGAGTTTTTTTGCTTTTTGGTTCATAACTCGCTAACCGTGAATTTTTTCAGAATTTGACGTCCAATGCTTTTGATTATGTACTAAATAAGGCACACGTTAAACACCATTGCGCGGTTTGCAAAGTTGAGCGTTGCTTTCAAAATCATTTTTTTGTTTTTTTTTATTATAGCCCAATTTTAAAAGTAATCGATCCCAAACCTTACAGTAATCAAACATAATCGAATGGACGATTTTTTGAGGTACCTAGGTACTTGACTTTTTTCAAAAGTTACTGCTTTTCAATGTACAGGGAGTTATTTTTTCAAAACTTTAATTTTTGTTGGGCACTTTCAATGAAATTTTTGGGGAATATTCTTGATTCATTATCAGCACCCCTGACTCTACAATGTAGAGTCAGGGGTGCTGATAATGAATCAAGAATCTACATAAAAAAAAATTAAAACCCGAATACCATCGAGTTTTCCTTCTTCAATCTTTGTTTGCTGGACTAATATCATACCTATTTGTATTTTTAATTAGTTCATTTTTCAATACCTAGGTAGCTACCTATCTACTACAGGTTTTTAGAATATTATTTGTTTTATAATATAATATGAATAATTAAATTTGGATGTTTTTACAGGGTAATTCATTAATATTGCGATAAAATTTAGGATGAGATTCCTGGGATGAAAATAAAAAAAATCCTTTCACCCAAGTTTTCGAAAACGCTTCGTTTCCGAGATACAGGGTGTTGCAAGGTTTAAAGTAAAAAATATCTGATTTTTTATACCTACTGATTTTTTATACCTAAAATAGCTAAAAAATTACAAAAATATTACACAACTTACTAAAGATATCTTTTAGATGAAGGGTCTCTACATATTTCTATTTGTTAACAAATTTACAATTGTTTGTAATGTTATATTTTTATTTTACATTTTTAAAAGTAGATTTTAAGCATGTGTATATTTTTTACTTAATAGTTCTGGAGTGTGAAGAGAAATTTGTTTTTCTATAGAAAACGCAGCGAGATTCGAAAATTAGTAGACACAAAAAAGTTTTATTTTTAATTGTTTAATTTGGAAAAGATATCAAAACAAATTTAAAGCAGTGGCGTGCCACATTTCTTCTTAATAAACACTTGAATAAATAAATTAAATCTAATTGTATTAAAAGCTATTATTTATTATTTACTATTATTTTTATGAACTAACGGACAAGTTTAAAAAAAGCGGAAATGTTTTTTTTTTTTTTGATATCAGCTCCTAGGAAAAATAAGATATTTAATAAACACTCGGTAACCCTGAAACGAAGGGTTTTCGGAAACTATTATTTTACTCTTTTTTCTTAAAATCATCCTTTTAAATATTATCGGATGTCAAAATTTAAAATAAAAATATAAAAAATTCACGTAGGTAGTTGGCCTCTTTTACTTGGGTATCATCTAAATTATTTATTTAAAATCTAAAAACAATTTTACGAAAAAAATGTAATTGAACTTTTTTGCAGGGCGTAACTTTTTATACAAAAATTATATATTATAATAATATGTATATCTTGTATATTGTTGCATGTCTATTTATTACCGAGTTATCAATTTTTCTGCCATTAAAACAAAAACTTTTGAAAAAAGTATAGATTAAACGACACTTAACACTGTCAACAAATAATTTAGATAATACCCAAGGGTATATTCGCGAAACCTTAACCCACCTTGACAAAAATAAGATGTGTTATTTAACAAAACGACGTAATTTATAACCTTAAAATATTTGTACATTGTAATGCTCACAATCCACACAACAAGGTCTGTTCTCGTACTAAAAATACTAAAAATCACAGCAACACGGCACAGAGTTTAACGGCAGCCATTTTTGTTGTTTACAATTCTTGTGCTTTGGGTTTGTGCTGTTTAATAATAGTTTTAAGCGTTGTGTTTCTTACAGAGGAACTCAAATGAGGCCAAGGACAACCATTTTACTCCTCTTTTATAAAAAATAAACCTTATTCTATTAGGGCTGTCAAATGTCAATTTGAAGGTTAATTTGCAGGTTATAAATTAACCTTAAAATTGACATTTGACAGTTTGATAGAATAAGGTTTATTTTTTACAAAAGTGGAGTAAAATGGTTGTCCTTAGCACTTTAAGGCCTCATTTGAAGCTTACAAGTGCCTCTGTAAGAAACACTACGTTTAAAACGATTATTAATTTGTATAAACAGCACAAACCCAAAGCACAAGAATTGTAAACAACAAAAATGGCCGCTGTTAAACTCTGTGCAGTGTTGCAGTGTTTTTTAGTATTTTTAATATAAGATAGAACAGACCTTGTTGTGTGGATTGTGGTAACGCTAAGAAGCTAACTTTCAGAATAAACACGTGTTTATTCTGAAAGTTAGCTTCTTAGCGTTACGAAAGAGTTTCAATACTCGATAAAAAGTTCAAAGTTCGCACCCGTTACATTTTGAGAAAATTTTAGATAATAAAGTATACAATATTTGAGCATTTAAAATACCTAGTTCAAGTTTTACACAAAAAATTATTACTTAATTTTTACAGGATCAACAAGCTTTTATTTACATTTTGTTTGATTTAAATATCAAATTTTTTATACTTTCTTTGTAAATTAACTTATCTTGATATAAACTGCGCACCACTCAATGTGTCGCGACCAAAAAGTTCGTCCTTTTTCAAAACGACATAACTTTTTTGTTTCTTGAACGATTTTATTTTGGTCTGTGATGTCTGCTAACCCCATCCTCTGGCAATTCATGATATCTATAGATATTAAGTCCACCGTTCTTCAAGTAAATTTCCTACAGGGTGATATGTAAAAGGGTGAAAAATTTCAATAACTTCATCCAAGCCCCGTTTGTAAAAAAATATTTTTTTTCGTTTTTACTTTGAAATAATGAAGTATTATGTGTTACCTTGAATCCTTTTTCAAATTTTTCGAATTGGAATCTTAGCAACGAAAATATGATATTTTTTCCAAAAGAGTACATTTAAGGCTTTTTGGTAGGCAATACGTTCAGTCTTTTTAAGAACAAGAATATAAGATGTTGAAAGATTATTCCTTGAATAATTCTGAACAAGCGACAAGCAACAAACTTCCATTATTTTCAAAAGGGCCTAAGCAACGACCACTTTTTAAAAATGACATTTTGGTGAAAATTTGCGAAAACTAAATCTGAACCGATATTTACGTTCGTGACATGTTTTCTTTATAATTTTGACCTCCTGATTGTGATTCAGTTGTCAAATTTAAGTTTCAGATATAACCAAAATCACCAAGAATCAAAATTCGAAATCAATTCCCTTCTGTTAAATGTCTTAATAAAATCCGATTGATGGCGTGTTTCTTGCATATTTGTGATGAAAATGCCATATGGGGATTCATTTTTTGGGCGAAATTACTGCAATTTGTTTGAGTGGTTAGGATAATGTTACATACACATACATATTTACATATACATTTACATTGCGCAGTAGTGATAACATCATTGATACCTACCTATTGGTAATAAAGTTAAATAAAAATATTTTTGTTCATTTTTGAAAATTTTGTGCGTAGATATAATCATAATCAAAACTTCTACATTCAACAGAAAAATGTAACTAACAATAACAACTTTCAATATTGGCCCTCCCCTAACCCGTAATAATTCGTTAACCCTCCTGGGCATTCCCTCGACCAAGTTCCTTAGAAATTCCTGGGGTACCCCATTCTTCCTGAATAGCATTTACCAATTCATCCAAATTTTCCATGCGTCCTTCCCTCTCTTTAAAATTCAATTTCATCCTGCTCCACACATGCTCTAAGTATAGGATTTATATCCGGAGACAAAGGTGGCCAATTCATTCTCTCAATTTGGCGGGCATTGTCGTCCACCAACACCAATTATTGGCAACATTTTGAGCATAAGGGACCACGATATCAATAACAACCAAATCTCTAAAGTAACCTGGGTAAGATAGGGATAGGTATGTAGGTTGGTAGGTATAACTTATGCAAAAAAAAACTTGGAAAAACACAAGCAAACTGAAAAAATCAAGAATATCCCTCATAATGCGTTTTGAATGTTTTTCAAGAACTAATTTTCATCATTTGATCCTCGATTTGATTATTCAGCGACATGATAATAACGTACTAAAGATGCAAAACACAGTAAAAAAACAGTAAAAACCAGCAATCGGATTTTATTATTTAACAGCCGGGAATTGCTTTCGATAATTTGTTTCTTACATGAAAACGTCGTAGTTGATTGGCATTTAAGTCACTTTGATAACGGTTAAAAAAGAAGGTAACTTTTGCAAGTGGATAATTATTTATTTACCTAGTGTCATTTCATTTCCTTGACAACCTTGAAAATAATTATTTTTTAATAGCAGGTGTCAAAATAGCTATTTACATACCATGGGAGGAAAATATTGCTTTTCCTCCCGCGAATAGTTTGATGCCCGACGCGAAGCGAAGGGCATTAAATATTCAAGGGAGGAAATGCATTTTCCTCCTGAGGTATGTATATAGTTTTTTCTATTACCTTTTAACGGTTTTAAGACATTTTAAGCGTTCCGGTTCCTTTTACTAACCCGGTATGAGGCTACAAACATATGACAAAATATTAAGTAGGTTTTGCGTCGCCGACGTTATGTTGACAACGCTTTGTTGCTATGGTATTTTTGGTAATACCAACATAACAGTTTTTATAAGCTGTCATAATGTTTATCATAAATTTAATAGTTGCAATTAATTTCCTTCCTTAAAAATCTAAAATAGTGAATATGAATATAGTTTGTTAAAAGAATGTTAAACGAATGGTTGGACAAGCGCGG